GATATTAAACAAAACAATAAATAAATATAACAATTACAAATCTTGTTCGTTTGTCCGTTTTAGAGCAAAGCCATATCTTCCGCGGAGAACTGAATCCCGGATTTTAGTGTTGAAAGTCCGTAAACTTACCGCTGTCCCACCGGAATTTATCCGGAAATTTGGATCGTATAAATCGTAAAGTGACAGCTATGATTAGAATTTTATTTAAGTTCAAGTATCCAGTGTATTTAAAGTTATTGATTATCAAGACATGACTTGTTTAAAATGGCATATCTAAATTTTCAATTTTATTTTTCATTTCAACATACCAAATGCCGTCTTTCAAACAAATTCACAGTGACTTTTATGCAGCTAGCTGTGAGGTCTGTTTGTTTGTTTTGAATTTCGCGCAAAGCTACACGAGGGCTATCTGCGCTAGCCGTCCCTACTTCAGCAATGATAGACTAGAGAGAAGGCAGCTAGTCATCACCATCCATCGCCAACTCTTTTACCAACGAATAGTGGAACTGACGGTCACAGTATAACGCTCCCACGGCTGAAAGGGCGAACATGATTGGTGGGACGGGGATTCGAACCTGCGACCTTTAGATTGCGAGTTAAGCGCCCTAACCACCTGGACATGCTGGGCTCCCACTACTTGATGTGACAAAATTAACTCGAACGTTGGCGGAGGTGGATTCACTAGTTGCCTTCTCACTACTTTATCACTTTAAAGTTAGGGAAGGCTAGCGTAGATAACCTTTGTATAAACAAAATCCACGTTTATTATAGGATTATTTAATAATTTAATTGTGAATATAATTGAATTATCTGCAAGAGTCGTAATCTATACATTCATTGCATTATTTGTAATAGTCTTTGACTATACACTCATTGCGTTACCTGTAATAGTTGTAGGCTATACACTCATTGCGTTATCTGTAATAGTTGTAGGCTATACAATCATTGCGTTATCTGTAACAGTTGTAGGCTATACACTCATTGCGTTATCTGTAATAGTTGTAGGCTATGCACTCATTACATTATTTGTAATAGTCTTTGACTATACACTCATTGCGTTACCTGTAATAGTTGTAGGCTATACACTCATTGCGTTATCTGTAATAGTTGTAGGCTATACAATCATTGCGTTATCTGTAACAGTTGTAGGCTATACACTCATTGATTTATCTGTAACAGTTGTAGGCTATACACTCATTGCGTTATCTGTAATAGTTGTAGGCTATGCACTCATTGCATTACCTGTAATAGTTGTAGGCTACGCACTCATTGCGTTATCTGTAACAGTTGTAGGCTATGCACTCATTAAATTATCTGTAATAGTTGTAGGCTAGGCACTCATTAAATTATCTGCAAGAGTCGTAGGCTACGCACTCATTGCGTTATTTGTAATAGTTGTAGGCTAGGCACTCATTGAATTATCTGCAAGAGTCGTAGGCTACGCACTCACTGAATTATCTGTAACAATCGTAGGCTATGCACTCATTGCGTTATCTGTAATAGTTGTAGGCTAGGCACTCATTGAATTATCTGCAAGAGTCGTAGGCTACGCACTCATTGAATTATCTGTAATAGTCGAAGGCTAACGCAGATTGCATTTCACCATAAATGGATTATTCTAAAAATCTGACAACTGAGTCTCGATAAAATTGTCTCTTTCTTATAAAAGTAATCGCTTGTATGTCATTTATACAACAGTGAATGTTGACGAAAACAACTGAAAAGACAGATTATGTTTTTATTTTAGATTGTAAAAGATAAGGGAAATAGAAGAACAGCGGGCTGCTCGACTGTCTCAATTCAAAATAAGATATTTGAGGTAAATTAATATGTTTTAGACTCTCAACGCAGAAAGCAAAGAATATTAATAATTCAAGCAAACAGCAATGGCATCTATTATAATAAGTAATAAAAAAAAAACATTTTGTAAACGTAATATAATGTAGGGATGACAGTGCCAAAAAAGAATGCAAACAAGAATATACGAATGATACAGCTATACACAGATGATCCTTACATAACTTTCAATATTAAAATTTAATGTTACATTATAAAAATGCACAAGTACAAAAAGGTTACGAGAGTCTGTAATAATCCAGACATGTTTTGACTCAACTTGGTTTTCCTTGTACGTAAGTCTCTGGGCTCTTAGTTGGCGCCTACCCTGACATAATTATTATATTGTGGTGAACAAACTACATGCCAACAGTCAGGAATATTTAACTTCCAACTGCAGTAATATTAAAGTCAAGTATGCATTTTACAGTGCAACATTAAATTTTAATATTGAACGTCATGTAGGGATGATCTAGGTATAGCTGTATCATCCCTATATTATTGTTTGTATTATTTTGGGCACTGCCATCCATGCATCATTTTACATTTACAAAATGGTTTTTATTACTCGTTTTGTGACTAAAAGTTAGTATATGTAATAAAATTTAATATTATATGTATTGATTTTTTTTTTACTCTTTCACTTCATACATAATATAAGGATTGGCACCTTATCGACACCGATTATAAAGTGTACAAATCATTGAGTATTCTACATGTTACAATCACCTAATGTTTATCTACTATTGGCTGGTAATTCCTGTTTTACCCTGTACTTAAACTTTTGAAAGAACACTAAATGTCCGTTAAAAAGCTAACTTCAAGGGGGTAATGACACAATAATTAATATAAATTTTTTCTTTAATTACTACTACTTATTAAGACTAAGCGACGACATTGTGCACTGCCAAGAAACACATAGAGTGGATTTACGTTTAAACTGACGTTAGTGATAAAATAGTTGTAGAGTTATCTCGACTGAAACAACAAGAAGAAAGATGAACAACTTGATTGGTTGGTCACTTTCTGGTTTGGTATCTTAGCGATGGTTTCTTGTCTTGTATTTGGGCTTGTTAGGTTGAGAAACAAATGAAAGTAAGTGACAGTCATCTTTTAAAGTAAAACTCTCTGTCATTGTTGATTTTTATCGTGAATATTTGTATTATGTCTATTGAGTACCTCGATCATCTACCGTCTCTATGATACTCAGTTTTGTCAGCCCTGAAAATGTATATAAATACTTAAGTTTCCTGGTTTAGAAATATAACTGTAGAATGAATAAACGAACATACGGTGGGACCTAACATGAACATACGCTACAATACATATAAATGGAAATTATCTGCAAGTTTCGTTAAAAATATACAAAGTTTGTCTGGGCTAGCCATCCCTAATTTTGAACTGATAGGTTAGAGGAAGGCAGCTCGTTAATAGCACCCATCGCCAATCATTGGACTACTTTAATAGAAGTGTGGGATTTAAAAGTGGTTCCAAAGTGTTGAGTGCGATTTTGGGCAAGGATTCACAGGTTTGGCACGCTTACTAGTAGGCCACGCCCAGCCCAGAGGATTTTTTTATTATTATGGCGCAAAGCACAAGACCTATTTACACCAATCATATGGGATGTGTAATCTTCTTATATAGCTTATCATTCTCGACTTGAGATATAAGGTATATCGATGAGTTTTCTAGTTTTGAGAGGTATACTCATATTTGCACAACAACGGACTTGATTTGCCACATCTTATTAACAACTAAGTCCCAACATGAATCGTTGAGATATCGATGAGTTTTCAAGTTTTGAGAGGTATACTCATATTTGCACAACAACGGACTTGATTTGCCACATCTTATTACAACTAAGTCCCAACATGAATCGTTGAGATATCGATGAGTTTCTAGTTTTGAGAGGTATACTCATATTTGCACAACAACGGACTTGATTTGCCACATGTTATTAAAACTAAGTCCAAACATGAATCGTTGAGAGAGAAAGTTTGACAAATAAATTTTCAGATTTTTAACGTGAGTATTCATATTTGTATTAAGTAATTTATTTGGACTATCACCACGTATTTTTAATTTTTTTTAATGCACAAGCTTTCGGCTCGATTACCTAAACCTTCTACAGGTGCGAGAAGGCTTAGTAATTAAACCTAAAGCTTGTGCATTAAAAAAAACGAAAAAAAAACGTGGTGATAGTCCAAATAAATTACTTAATACAAAGAAAGTTTTGATGTTGTAAATGTACACATCCTTCTACGGATTCTTTAATACACGAATTCAGTAAACTGTGAATCCGTTTGAGCTGGATTGTCGGCTATGTTTGTGTATATCCACGAGCCTTATAAACCACGTGAGCACGTAAAACTTAATTATTGGACGACAAATTATTAATATTCATTACTTCACCAAAATTAAATACAGCTAGTCTAAACAAACAGAGACCAAAAGTGTTTTCCATAGTATATCAACATTACTACATCAGTGTTTATAGGTTATAGGAACTACGTACACAGATCATGCGCGTAGGCAGCCGGGGTTGCAGCCGGTTCGATCGCATCCTATATATATGTATAAAACAGACTTAAAAGGTGTAAAATCAGCCCCTGATAACACCACGATGCACCAATGTCAGTGGAAATTACAAATATTTGCCAACGGCCAAGCTCCCGAACTCCTAGTGTGATTTTACCACTCATTTCCAAAAGTGGCACGCACCCCCTTCCTCTCCCCTTTTATAGATTTCTGCCTACATCCCAGCAGGTATGCTGCTTTCCATCATGTCTGGTTGAAATTTCATTACGTTCTGAAGCTCACAAAACCGATATTTCCCAATCATTGCGCACTTATGACCACAGCTGGCTTCCAGCATTGTGGCGAGATGGAAATTGGTTAACGCACAGCAGTAGCAGATGACACTCTTGAGTTTCTATCGAGTTATTATGACAAAACTACTACACAAATAGTAAAGCAATAATGACCTTGAATTATGAACAAGAGTTCGAGATTAATTAAAAAGGAAAAAAACCCGGTCTGCTTATAATATTTATAGAATACAGTTTTACTCTTTAACCCCTTGCTTACTATAGGAGCTTATTTGGAGCGCCCTCTATTTATATTCCCAGGGACTACATGGGCAAACTTCACGCTGAATCCAGTGATGTATCATTTGTAGAGCCCTTCTTCATTGAGAAACACAATAAGTCAATGAAATAAAAATTTGTGATATTTCGTCATACTTCCCAATTTTCATTGGTCTGTGCGAAAGAGTTAAAACAGTGTTTGACTCTTCCCTGCATAAATATAACCAAAATCAATATTGATCGGAATTTCCAGCTATACATATTAAAATTATGTAAAAAAAAAAACTATTTATATATTTTACTTGTTTATTTCATGCAACAATTTTCTTCTGGAAAATGTTAAATATTTTTTTTTCTTATCGTTCTAATAAAGGGAGAGAAAAAAACTCAATTTCATTTGTAAATTTACACAGTGTTTAGGGGCTTGTAATGCTAGATTTAGAGGTTCGATCTCCGTGGCAAACAGAAACAATTTTAAAAGATGTAGTTTTTAGTTATTTCGGAAAAAGTCAGACTGAAATAAAAATATACGAGATTTATGCCCATTAAAAAGTATTTTACCATATGGTTTAAAAGCACGTTCCGTAAAATAACTGAAAAAAAATATTCTGATCGATTTCTTTTCCTGGGATGTGAGATTTTTGTTTTATTATTTTAATTTTATAAGCTTTGTTTTACGCAGGTGTACATAAACAGTCTATTTGGTAGTGTGAAAAACATACGGTAAAGGAGTTAACATATTCTCTAAAACACAAAACAATGTCAGTGTACATAAACAGTCTATTTGGTAGTGTGAAAAACATACGGTAAAGGAGTTAACATATTCTCTAAAACACAAAACAATGTCAGAAGGATATAGGTTATAATTCCCTGAATATAACTGAAAAATGGTTTAAAAAATTATCCCCCCGACGTAAGACGTCAGATTAGTTGCCATTACTTCGTAGAAGCTATAGTTTTAGTGTTGCTGCTAGCAACATGACTCCACGTGTTACTATGGTTACGGCAATCTACAGTCATAATCTTGACGTCTGAACCGCGATGTATTAACGGTAGTACGCTACCAAGGGTTTGTATATAAAACCATAACTGTGAAGACGATATCAGAAAGAGAGGCAATTCGTATCATAAACTTTCAAACGAAACTAACGCACAATCGAAATATTTAAATTTATATTTTTCGTAATGCAATAAAGGCTTTCATGTCCCTCTATAGTAAATGTCTTTCAATTTGAATTCGTCCTTTCTATAGCACGCAATTTCCACAAATATACATCTGAGGCAGATAAAACAGGCGAAAAATAAAGAAGCAACTCGATCTGCGATTTAAATCCAGAAATAGACCGCACAGGCTCGATAATCTGTTACCACACTCTTAAGGTTCACAATCTTTAATCAATATGTGTAAGCTGCTGTTTGTATCTATCTTGTGAAGGACAAAGCTCTATTGTACAGCGTCCACCAGGGATCGAGCCCTGTTGGAAGCCGGAAGTTGTTTTATCAGGTAGTCGTTTAAAACAAGAACAGTCTCAACATTTTTCCAAATCCAATTCCCCTGTAATAATAGGCCTACGATCTGCATTGTTAATCCACTTGTCAGTTACAGGGCTAGTAAAATTAGTTCAAAATGTGCAACAAAATAGTGCATAAAATGATCTTTGAAATCTTTCAGGTAGTCATTGAACATTATAACGGCGTAACATAGATTGATAACACACAATTAAAGATTCAATTGAATTCGAAGTTGCCGCAGCAAATAAATGTCAAATTTATTTAATTAAGTTGTTTGTTTCAAGCAAGCAAACAGTTGCAACAAAATACATATAGGTAATCATTCGAACGTGATACGAAAGGCAAATTAAAAAAATATACATGAAAATATACATGAAAACAAATTATTTACAATATTCAGAGATGTAATACCACAAGGAGTTCCTGCGTGCTTTATTTATCCTGAGCATTATGGTAGAAAACATATCGTCAATTTGTTTGTTTATTGAATTTTCGCGCGTAGCTACTCGAGGGCCATCTGCGCTATCCGTCCTTAATTTTGAGGTGGTAGACTAGAGAGAAAGAAAGTTAATACTACCCACTGCCAACTCTTGTGTCACTCTTTTAATACGAATAATGGGATTGATCGATACATAACGCCCCCATGGCTGAAGGAGCGAGCATCTTCGCTGTGGAGGCATTATAATGTGATGGTCAATCCGCTTTTTGTTGTTAAAGAGTATTTCAAGAGTTGGTGGTGGGTAGTGCTGACTACCTTCCTTACCTCTAGGATATTATCTCTAAATTATGGACGGCTAGTACAGTATTTGTCAATTGAAAAAAGAAACAATGGTTTTCAGGATTAGAAATTCAATGAATATTTGAAAGGCTTTAACATTAATCTCTCTCTCTCTCTCTTTTGTTTGCTAAGAATGAAGTTTCGGTTTGTTCGTGCACGGGTAATTGTTTGTTTGTTTGCTATTAAGAACAAAGCTACACATTGGGCTATCCGTGCTCTGCTCCCCACGGGTATCGAAACCTGGTTTCTAGCGTTGTAAGTCCGCAGACATACCGCTGTGCCACTGGGGGGGCTGCACGGGTTATAATTACAAAGTTTCATTTCACACGTATGATGTAATTGCAATAAAGAAAAAAATATTGATGCTTGCGTGGTGCAAACTTCGGTACTTCAATTATGTTTCTATTAAACATCTCCAGTTGGCAGTGATTAAATTCTTTTTATGTCCGACGTTTCCATTTTGCACCTTCGTTTGAAACTCAGTTCTAAGCTATAAAAGTGAAACTATAGAAATTAAATTCATTCATTCACTGGCAACTGTAGGGTTTCAATTCAAAAATAAATCTTTAGTTTAAAAACAAATATAGTAATCAACGTATACAAGGACTTATTTTCTAGTAATCAACGTATATATTACTGATTTTCTAGTAATCAACGTATAAAAGGACGGATTTTCTAGTAATCAACGTATAAAAGACACGGATTTTCTAGTAATCAACATATACAAGGACTGATTTCTAGTAATCAACGTATAAAAGGACGGATTTCTAGTAATCAACGTATACAAGGACTGATTTTCTAGTAATCAACGTATAAAAGGACGGATTTTCTTGTAATCAACGTATAAAAGGACGGATTTTCTAGTAATCAACGTATAAAAGGACGGATTTTCTAGTAATCAACGTATACAAGGACGAATTTTCTTGTAATCAACGTATAAAGGAACGGATTTTCTAGTAATCAACGTATAAAAGGACGGATTTTCTAGTAATCAACGTATACAAGGACGGATTTTCTAGTAATCAACATATAAAAGGACGGATTTTCTAGTAATCAATGTATACATGGACTGATTCTATTCAGAGTTTCGCGTTACTCTCTCAGCAACTAAACAGCTTGTTCTCAGTTAACTTCACATTCCAACTTTTTCACAGCTACACATTATTTATTCTTTATCGTTCCATGCAGACTTGCGTATACGAATTTAAAACTAATACAGAAGTTGAGTACGTTATTTTACAAAAATTTTGGCCCGTCGCTACAGTCCATGTCCCCATGCGGGGGGGGGGGACTCTTTCAGACAACTGTGAATGTTGACTACAGACCTGCAGCGTAGTTTCCACTGAAAAAGGCTCCATCATAAGACCGACATGTCCAAAGCACTCCCTTCTCCCCGCTTGATTTCCATAAGCTATCTAACGTACAAGAATGACAGTTCCCAATGCCCATTTAAAAAGTCAGATCGCATGTGTCCGGCGACTTTACCTGAATGTCTTCATATGGAATGTTACGAATACTCGTTTGATTCTTCAGCTGCTTTGATATGCAACAGTTGAAAAGATATGTCACGGAAACAACTTTATACACGTGACTTATCTTGAGGAACCTATATCCTGTTGACATCGTTTCCAGACATTGATTCTCCTTCACTATGTTTCATACTGTTCCTTGGAACATGTGGACAGCTTTTGTCACTGACTTTTGTGTTTATAAGTTCTTGACTAAATTTGCTTACCATGACTGAGGTATTTGTTGCAGGTCTCTGTCTGGATGGTTCTGATTTCCCAAATTGATCTACATTTCTTTGTTTGCCAATGCAACTAAGTACAAGGGATATGTGCATCTTGGAAATTCTAATTCCCCGATCTGAACATATATTTATGATCTGAGTGTGTAAATATTTTGTGTCGAAAAGGGCTGTTACGTACCCTTCCAACATGCGATCAATCTTCAGAAGCATCATACTAACAGCTTAACGCCAAACAATGTGAAAATGTAGTTCTGATACCTTCCGTTCCACTGCGAATTATATCGGCTGTGGTTGTCACGTGACTTGCTGATTTGAATATTAAAATCGTTTTAATATAAAATACTCAATCATATGTATAGTCAGACAGCCAAAACTAATCCGGGGGCCACACGTACGCCCTCACACACCTTCAATAGTCACAAGACCCATTTATCAGTAATACAGTCCTGTCAGAACTATAATCATGCGTGTACAGATAATTAAATTCTTTCATTTCTGGAAATAACAGTTTCACACTAGAAAATCAAGGCCTTTAGCATGTTAATGAATTTGCTTGTTTGTTATTAAGCACAAAGCTACACAAAGGGCTATCTGTGCTCTGCTCACCGTAGGTATCGAAACCCGGTTTTTAGCGGTATAAGTCCGCAGATATACCACTGGGGGCTTACTAACGAGATGAAATAAAATGACGTATTCAAAACTTCATTGAATCAGATATTTGTTTGTTTTCGGATATTCGCGCGGTTTGT